GAGAGCAACCCTGGTCTCTTCCCTGCTGGTACTGCCTGCCCAGCCTGGGCACAGCTCTGGCCCTGCGTGCTGGAGGAATGTTGTGCTCTGTTTGTGTGGTTTGTGCTGGTGCCTGTGCCTGCTCTGGTTGATAATTCATGGGAGCCTCCCCTCGTGTGAGGCACGTGGGTCCACAGGTGACAGGGTGGGGCTGCGGGCTTGGGCTGAAAGCCACACACCCCTCCAGCGAGGAGGGAAGGACAGGATATGGAAGAGAGCAGGGCTGTTCTCCCTGCGGGGAAACTGAGGCATTTGGGGTGTGTGTGTGTGTGTGACTGATTCGTCCCCAGTCTCAGTTACTGCCAGGAGCCAGTAGTGGAAGAAAAAAAACCAAAACGTTTGCCTTTCCTTTTTCCTGCAGAACGGAGAAAACCTCTGGGGAGGAGAGCAGGACTCTGTCGGGCTCTCCCAGAGACGCCTTGTTAACATCTCCAGCGTTGCTTTTGGGATTTTGCCAAGAGCCTGGTCCTGCGTCACGGCAGAGCATCCCCATCACGGCAGAGCATCCCCATCACAGCAGAGCATCCCCATCACAGCAGAGCATCCCCATCACGGCAGAGCATCCCCGCAGGCACCCGGTCTCAATGGGTGGGGGACAAACCACTGTTTGGATTAACCACTGAACTGAGTTCGTGGCGGTGCGTCCCCAAAGGGGTTAAGGACATGCAGCGGGCCAGGCAGGGCCAAGCCGTGCTCCCTCCCGTCCCTCCCGCATCCCCTCCCGCATCCCCTCCCACCGCCGCGCCGGGCGCAGGAGGGCGGGAGGCAGCGGGAAGCGGAGCGGAAGGAGCCGAGCCCCGACATCCAAGAGAGCTGTGCCTGGAGCTGAACCAGGGCCAGGCTTCCCATCCCGCACATCCCCATGGAAACCTCGGCCCCGCCGCCCCGCCTCGCACCCGTGCCCGATTGTAGGTCACCGATGGCCGCGCCGGTCCAGGAGGGCGAGGGGGGCTGTCCGAGGGGGAGGGGAGATCCCCGACACCCAGGGGCTCCTGCCGAGGCTGCCGAAGCTGCGAAGGGTAGAGGGATTGAGCCCTTCCCCCCGTCCCCGCCCACATCCACCCCACTGCGCAGCGGTTAGGGGTCCCCGGCAGCATCCCTGCCCCCGGTGCAGCCCCGGCAGCATCCCAGCCCCTCCGTGGAGCACGAGGTGCCTCGGGTGCCCCTCCACGGGGGTTTGCAGCCGCAGGACCGCCTCCACCCCACACCCGGTTCTGCTGGTCCTTCCCCTCCTGCGCTCCCCTCCCAGCGCGAGTCCCCTGAATGCTCCATTTGAAGCTAATTCCGGCTGAAATCTGGTTTGCTTTCCAACGTTGCTGCTTTAAATTGGAGAGATTGACCTTGTAGCAGGAGGTGACATGCAGATGCACATCAGCAGCCCGTCAGAGCGGCGGCGGGGGCTGGGGGAGCGCGGAGCCGCCTCGGGGACAGGCCGACTATTTTATGAGTAATTTAATATCTGGAACACAGACTTTTCATTCCCAGAGATCTGCTGTGGAAAGAAAGAGCCTTTCTGCAGCCCCGCGAAGGCTGTTCCTCATAAGGAGGCAGAGCAGAAAAAACAGGGCTGGGATTTAACCCCTTGGTGTCCAGTCCAGCGCCGGGGCTCCCGGCTCCCGATCCCTGAAGAGGGGCCAAGAAAAACAGGGGTTCCCTGCGCAGCTCAGAGCGATTGACAAGCCAGGCTGTGTTGCTCCAGGCAAAAGAAGCAATTGCTCCTTCCCGTTCGAATTCAAATCAAATCCTGAGTGAGGATGGGGGAAACAAACAACAGCCCTGAGGTGAGATTTGGGATAGTAGCCACTGTCTGAACACTCTTCCCTGTCCCAGGCTGGTCCCTGCTGTATCAAACTCCACAGGAGTTCCTCTGTGGTTGGGAGCACCCTCCAGTGGAACCAGTGAACCCAGGGGATCCTTGGAGGGAGCTCCTGCCCTGCTGACAGTGAAGCCACCACGTGTGACCCCAGTAACCACCAAACCTGAGCTGCTGCTGCTGTGTCCCATTGGTGCCTGCAGCATCCCAGCAGGCACAGCCCAGTGCCTGTCCCAGTAACACCTCTGCTAAGAGCATTCCAGCGTTCTGGTACAGCACTGAACCCACACAGATCTTCCCATACAGGTCCTGCTGGATATTATGGTTTGGAGAAGGGGAGGGAAGGAAGAACACAACGCCTTGTCCCCTGTATTTCACTACACAGTCTGGCCCAAGGGGAGAGGAGACCGTGGGGAGCAGCAGTGACTGTGCCTCGGAGCTGGGAGGGAAGGAAACCCTCCATGGCTTTTCTGGAGGGAGCTGCTGGCAAGGGAAAAGCCTCACTGTATCTGGAAACCAGCTTCATGAGCTACATGGGAGAAGGGCTGGTTGCATGAGGGGCTGCTCCAGGAGGCCCTGCTGGGCAGCCTGGCTGTGGCTGATGCTTCCAGCAAGGACTAAGGCCAAGCAAGGATGGTTTAGGAAGGGCTCTTCCTTGGGCAGAAGGTGCTGGGAATTCATGGGCTCACGTGCAAACAGATCAACACCTTTGCAGGCTCTCCAGCATTTGCTGGTGGTGTTAGACCAGACTGTGGGGCTGACATCACTGCCTCAGTCTCGCTGACAAACAGCACGGTTGTGCTTTCATGTGTCCAGCTCAGCTTCATTTCCACAAATATTGACAGGTACAGTGCGTTCTCCACCGCATCAGATCCTGCCAAAGTCCTGCTTGTGCCAGGACTGGAGCTTTGGCACAGAGGAAACTTCCAAGCCCCCGAAGATGATGCAGGAGAGACCTCCACGCGGTTTTCTTGTTGATCCCTGTTGCTGATCCTTGATGCTCTGTGACTGGAAACAAGAAGATTTTCCCAACTTCAGCATCTGCTGAGTATCTGGTGGCCTCAGCCTGCGTTCAGGGGAGGGTCACAGCACCTCCTGGTGAAAGGCTGTGGCTGGGCCAAGGGGAGGCACCGCGGCCACCTTGAAAATAAACTCCGCAGGGAGCGAAGAGGAGCAGAACCGGCGTGTCAGGGCAGAGCTGCAGAGCACACGCAGAGCGGAGGGGGCGTTTGAGGGGCGGGAGGAGAGTGCACGGGGTTGGGGGGGAGGGTGGAGTGTGTGAGCACACACAGAGCAACGTGGATGTGCAGGAACATGTGTACGTGGAGCACAAGTCCTGTGAGAAGCAGCTGATAGAGCTAGAAGCGCTCAGCCTGGGGAGGAGGAGGTTCAGGAGAAACCTTTTCGCTCTCTACAACTCCCTGATGGGAGGGAGGAGCCAGGTCGGACTCTGCTCCCAGACAACCAGCAGTAGGACAGGAGAGCACAAGGGGAGGTTTAGGTTGGGCATCAGGAAGAAATCCTTTACAGAGAGATGGATCAGACATGGAAATGGAAATGGGCTGCCCAGGGAGGTGGTGGAGTCACCATCCCTGGAGGTGATGGTAAACCAACCTGTTTAGGAGGAATCTGGATGTGGCACTGAGTGCCGTGGTCAAGTTGACAAGGCGGTGTTGGGTCAAAGGTTGTACTTGAACTTCGGGTCGTGACACCCAACACCTCTGCCCCGACCTTGCAAGAGGAGCAGAGGTCTGGGGACACGGGTGGCTGCACACCCGGGGACAAAAGCCGCAGATTTTGCTGCGGGAAGGATGAAGCAGCGATGTGGCGAGGAGGAGGAGGAGGTACGGACTGGGCTGGAAAGGGGAGACTCCCTAATCCCGCCCGCTGCCTCCTCCCAGATCTTACGGGCAGAGCCTCTCGCTGCTTCCCGGCCCCTGGAGCTGTGCCCGCCCAGCCGGTGGGACGAGGGTGGTCCCGCTGCCGGGTGAGGGCTGAGCCAGTCTCCAGTGCCACCTGCCGGCAATGCTCCCCGGACACGAGCAGGAGCCACCAAACCCATCACAGCAGCGTCAGTCACTTCTTGTGCTGGTAGAGGGACACCCGAGCATCCCAGAGCTGCGGGGGGGCCTCTGGATATAAAAGCACACGCGGAGAGCTCCATAAATCCGGTCCATATCGCACCCACCTACCTCCCTAAGAACGTTTATCGTCTTTCTCTCCATCCAGCCCCTTTCAAATCCCAGACTCCCACAAAAATTCTCTTGTCTACTTCCTGAATGTCCCGTGTCCACCATGAGCTGGGTTGGGGTCTGCAGACAACCCAACACCCAGGTACAACACTGGGTTGTCACCTGTCCCACGCCGGGGTTGTCATTGGATTCCTCAGCTTCAATTCATCTGGATGTCTTCGAGTCCATCAGCTCTGCTGTTAATGAGGAGATCTCAGGGAGGACTTGGCTGTGCTGCAGGACATGTTTGTTCTCTGCTGGGGTTTTGGGGCTGTGGGAGGGGGTAGTTGTGCGTTCCACACCAGTCCCATCATGGCATCAGGCTGCCTTCCCTTGTGACACACACCTTGTCACGAGCTCTGACAAATTCCCGTGGATATTTTTGTCACCACCACCACCCCCCAAAAAAAAAAAAAAGTCTAAGAGAAGTTGGGTTCCCAGATCCTGCCACTGTCAGGAGTCTCCAGTACAGCACCATCTCCAGTATCTTCCCATCTACCACCAGTACCCAGCGGTCCCAGTTATGTCATGTGTCCTGCCCCCTGCTAGAGGCCAAGCTGCCTCTCCGTGTTTTCTTAACCCTTGGCTGGGACTCTCTGGGTGTCTCTGGAAGGAGATCCTCAGCCTGGTGTGCAGCAGGGACTGCATGAGTTAGGGCTCTGCTCAGCAGTAATGAGCTCCTAATAAGCCTGGGCTGCACCAGGAGGATGGGAAGCAACGCCCTGGGTGTGTGAACGTTGTGTGGGGGCAGAAAAAGGCAAACGCGAGGCAGAAAGAGACCAACACCGCAAAAAAGCTGTCGTTTAATGGGCTAGAACGGCAGCAATGCACTCGGGGCACCGATTTTGGGAGCAAAAGAGTCATTTGCAGGGGAGTCCTCAGCCCTGCAGAGGGGGCTGCAGGAACACCCCCAGCGGCTAAGCCTCAGGGAAGATGAGGAAGCCGGAGAAGATGCTGTCGGACCCCTCGATCCCCACCAGCGAGTTCTTCTCCGTCGGCTCCAGCCAGACGGACTCGTTCATTGCCATCTTGAGGACCACGCCGCCCGTGGTGACCTGGAAGCTGCTGTGCACGTAGTCACAGAAGGTCGCCACCTTCTCGCCCTTGCTGCCGCCCCGTCCCTTTTTGAAGCTGAGGCACAGGCTGCCCCTGGAGGTGACGTGGTAGGTGAAGTAGTAGATGCCGGGGACGCGGCAGATGAAGCGGCCGTAGCGGTTCTCGTAGTGGCGCCTCTCGTTGGTGATGATGCGGTCGAAGCGGATGGGCTGCTCCCGGCGGGGGTAGGTGCTGATGCTCCTGGCAGCCGAGAAGGCAGACTTGAGGGTGGCCTTGTAGTCTCCGGAGTCCCCCGGTGGGCCGGGTAATCCGCTGAGACCTGGTAATCCCCTTGCACCCGGCGGGCCCCGGGGGCCGACCTTGCCCGGGTACCCTGGCACTCCCGGGTCTCCCTTCTCCCCCACATCTCCTTCGTGCTCCGCCTGGCCAGGGGGTCCTAGGAAGAATAATAAGAGTCACTGTGGTCACAGCTGAGCCCCACAGGTCTGCAGAGGGGGCCTGGGGAAAGAAACCTGCTCTGCGGTGTGGGTCAGACCCCTGCCCAGCTGGCAGGTGTGACAGGGTGAAAATCTGCCTCCTGTAATATGTCAAGATGTAGAAAAGTCTACAGAAATTGGTGAAAGAACAAAAACAAGTTCAGGAAGAAATTAGTGGGATGTCCTCTACACCAGTGCTTAAAAGTGCAAGATGGCATTAAAGCTTTGAAGCAGCTTCTGTCTGTAGTTACCAGTGGATTACAGAGAAACACTCTTAATATGTACAAACTGAAAGTGGAAACTGCACAGGAGCTAAAGAATGCAAAACCAGCATTGCAAACACTGAAAACTTGCTGTTGTTCACCCTCCCTCCCCTGGGTGCTCCAATCTGTCCAGTCCTTTCTGTCCCTGAGCATCACCCCCACCTGACAACACCTCAAAGGAACTAAAGGAAATGGGTTGCTTTCCTGGGGCCGTGTGCCTGGCTCTGCTTTTTCCTGCTCTTGGCATTCACAAGGTGATTGTCTTCCCCACCTGCAGCCTCCTCCTTACCTCGCTCTCCCTTTGGGCCGTTCTCCCCATCTCTGCCGTTGCTGCCAGGCTGTCCTGGTGACCCTGGGATGCCAGGGATGGTGCCGTAGGTCTCACAGAGTGTGGCACTGGCAAGTTGCCCTTCAGCCAGGCAGATCAGCATCACCCACGTGATCCACATCTGCAGGGGCACAGGAGGGGTGTGGAGGGGCTTAGCCTGGGTTGTGGGAGGGTTGGGGAGGGCACTCTGTGCTGTTTGGAAGGATGGTGAGTGGAAGCACATCTGGGCAATATCATCAGAGAGGGAAAACATCCTGCTTAAGAGCCAGATCTGCTCTCCTGATGGCCTTGGAGGGAAGGACCAGTCCCTTTGGATGAGGCAGAGATTGTCAGCCTCTGGTTATTTTAAATTCCCAGTTTGCAAGAGCCCACAGCTTCAGCCACATGAATATCTGTGACGGATTATCCCAGAGGTCTGGTGTCCAGCCTGGCCATGCTGCTCCCTCAGGGGCAGAAATTCCCCATCCCTTCTCAGAACCACACCTGCAGGGGAAAATGTTTCCCCCAGCCAGGGCAGTTTCATCATCTGCAAGGGGAAGGATTTGCCTTCCACCAGCAGGTCTGAGGGACAGTTGGTTGTTCCTTGAAGATGGCAGTGAATGCCCAAACCTCCCCCTGCACCCTGCAGCTTCCCCCTGTGTCCTGCCACATGGCTGCTCCATCCCAGAGGCATTTCTGTACCTAACCAGCATTACTGGGACAGTCATCTGGGTTTCCAGTCCCTGGGGTCCCAACATTCCTTCTGCCCTCCTTGCATCCCACAGCTCAACTCCTTCCCCCAGGTCCTGGTGTGGGTGCCTGTGGATAAGCACCTGCTATCTGGGGACTGTATCTGGACATCACATCACCCTAACCACACTCTCTGGCCTCAGGTGGACTTTCCCAGCACTGACACTCTGGTGTTAGCAGGACAAGAGGTTGGTGAGCTGGATTTTCCAGCCACAGCAGCTCCAACTTGGATGTGAAAGGATGAATTCACATGCTCCTAGCCCAGGTCTATCTGAGCATCCAAGAGCAGGAGAGCACACCCAGGGCACCTTTCAGACTGATGCCCAGCCACTGATCACCCCTCTGGGACTTTGCAATCTCCCTTTTCTTGTCTCCTTTCTCCCAGGTGGAGCAGGAGGGGTTGGGGTCCCACCAGGAATCTCCACCATCGTTACCCAGCATCTCCACCACCCCTTTTCTCTTCTGCCCCAAGCCACAGGGAAGTGCCAGGGGTGCAGGTGGCTGTCACTCTGCTGGGACCAGAGTGCTTCTGCCTGTATGGGGGGCTGGGGCTCAGCCTTGCTCTTACCTTGAGCTCCTTGTTGCTTGGGTGGGGAGATGGAGTGGGACACACCGGCACCCTGCTTGGAAATGCCTGCGAGGAGAAGCAGAAGTTGGCTGCAAGAGTTGTTGTGAAAGGATCTGGGACACATCCCTTTTTTATCTTTAGCTCCTGCCCTTTTGTCCGTGGCAGTTTCACATCCTCCACGATGCTCTCTGTCGGCTCAGCAGAACAACCACCCCCAAACAGCAACCCAGGCCCTCCCAGAGTACAGCTCTGTCCTGCAGGGTCCCTGGGCCCTGCTCAGGTGCCCCCTATCCTGCTCAGGAGAACACTGAGCTGAGCTCCAGGCAGGTTTGAGGTAACCCATGGGTGCTGCGGAGTTGTGCATGCGTCCTTCCGACCTCCCTCAGGCTACTCTGCACCTTCCCAGCTCTGCTGGGAGGTTCTGGCAGGCCCAGGAGGTGCTGCAGGGTCTTGGCATCCATCACCTTGAACATGTGCCCCAGGCTCTCCTAAATGTTGTGTGTGGGAAGTGATTTTACCCTGTTGGAAGAGCATTCCCAGGCCTGCTTTCCGCTGCTGCCTTGCGGAGGTGACGAACGGGATGTTCAGGGATGTGACCTCCTGTTCCACCCCACAATGTGTGCCACCAGGAGGAGTCCCCATTGAGTTTGGTGGGCTCTGCAGCCTCCACAGCCCTGAACTCCTTTGGTTTGGGTCAGGGAAGCAGCGCTCTGTCCCTGGCAGGGCTGGGATGTCCCACCCTCAGTGGTGTCTCAGTGGGGTTTGCTGCGTGGTCTGTGCCCATCTGCAGATGGATTGCTTCCACTTTGATGGGGAAGGGGGAGGAGCAGGGACCCTATTTGGAGGAGTCTTGGTCCCCTCTTTGTGGGGCCTGTGTGGGGGCAGAGGAACCATCCTGTTCTTGGAGTCAGTGCAGCCTGGGGTCGTACCCTCACCCCACCCCAAGCAAGGCCAGAGTGTGGATGGTGTGTGATGTCACTGATGCTGAGCACAGCGAGGGCTCAGAGGCTTGCTGATGCCACCCAGATGTCCAGATGTCACACACACATCCATCACCATATCCATCAGGCTCTGCCTGCAGAAAGGTAACTCATGGAGGACACAGCACACTACACCAGGCTCGTGGGGAAGGATTTATTGACACTTTCCACACCCAGGTCATGGCAAAGGGGCTGCTGCAGCCCCAGGACACCTGGCTGAACCTGGGGCAACCAAGGTGGGGAGGGGAAAGAGGCAGAGAGACCCCTGAGGTACTGTGGGGTTATGGAGCAGGGTGAAGGTGGCAGTGCCAGCAGGACGGTGCCTCAACACCATCACTTTGGCTGCAGATGCATCCAGATGTGCCTGTTGCCCCTGTTCAGCAGCTGCCAGTGCTCAGTCCCCACTGCTGTGGGGGTTGTGTCTGGCTGCTGGGGGTGACAACCTCGTTGGGGCTTTCCCCTCAGCAGAGAAACTGGGATCATCAGCAGCAGCCTGGCAGTGAATGAGGGTGTGTGTGGGGCAGGATGAAGCAGTCGGGGTGCTGGGGTGGGCTCTGGTGATCCCCTAGTCCGGGAAGAGCAGGAACCCCGAGAAGATGCTGTCAGAGCCGGCGATGCCCACCATGCCGTTGTAGTCGTTCACTTCCAGCCAGACCTGGTCCTCGGCAGCCAGCTGGAGCAGGACCCCCCCCGAGCTGACCTGCACGGCGTTGGTCTTGTGGTCACAGAAGCTGGCCATCCTCCTCTGGTTCTTGTGCAGCATGGTGCAGAGGTTGGCTGTCTGTGAGGTGTGGAAGACAAAGTAGTAGAGCCCGGGGAGCTTGCAGGTGAACTTGCCGGTGGTGGTGTCGTAGTCGTCGTTGGTGTTGGTGATGACGTGGTTGAAAACCACGGGGACGTTCTTCAAGGGGTGCTCCTTGGTCTGCCTCGTCACTGAGAAGGCTGACTGGTGCTTCTGCTTGTAGCTGCCTGGCATTCCCGGCTCTCCAGGCAGGCCTATCACCCCAGGGTCTCCAGCAGGACCAGGAAGGCCATTGGGACCATTCTTGCCTGGCAAGCCAGGGCTGCCCGGTTCCCCTTTCATGCCCTTGGGCCCTTGCACTGCAGGAGGAGCTGGGACACCTGTGGGGTGGTGGGGAGTGAAAGGGAGTCGATGTCAATAGCAGGGTGTGGGGAGAGGCTTCTTCTCCAGCCCCTTCCCCTGGGCAGGAGGGTGCTGTTATCTCTCTCCAGCCTGAGCACAGAGGGTGCTCTCCACAGCCTGCAAACCAAGGCAGACCAGGCATGGAGGGCTCAATGCTTCCCCCTGCAACAGCCCCGTGGTTTCCCTCGTTTCTCACTCACCTGGCTCCCCTTTGGCTCCCTTCAGCCCATCCCGGCCATCCTTGCCTGGCATACCCGGCATGCCTGGCAGGCCTGGAGCTCCATAGCAGTTGTGAGGGGCATCTCCATTCACAGCAGAGCCCACATTCAGGAGGAGGAGGAGGAGGGTGAGGGCCAGACTGAGCTGCTCCCAGAATCTCTGCTCCATTTTGGTTCTGTGGCACAGACAGGGAAAGAAATGCTGGAGTGAGGGGCCGTGGCATGGAGAAGAGGAGGCTGGATGCACCAGGAGCTCCTGGGTCCCCTGGGTGTGCCCTCAGTGTCCCACCCCTACCGTGGTGCATGCATGACATGTGTGCAGCCCAGCAGTGCCTGTCTCCTTCCCCTCCTCCTCCTCCTCCTCCTTCTCCTCTTCTCACATCCACATCCTCCTCACAGCACTGGGCCACACTGCAGGACCCCCAGACCCCCTGCAGACCCCCCCCTCAGACTCATGGGCCCTGCAGCACCCCTTACCTCTGGTGGGGAGCAGGGACAGGACCCTGTGCTGCTGGTTCCTGGCCGTGGCAGTCACTGTGCACTGGGGGTGGCTCCCTGTCACCCCCACGGAGGAAGCTGCAGATTTAGGAAAGGGCCATTGGGGACCCAGAACCCCCAGCTGTTCCCAGCAGAGTTTCACATCCCTCTGCCTCATTGCTTCTGCTGAGTGAGCACTTCCTTGGCTGCCCAGCGAGACCTGCACTCGTTCCACTGCGACAGGGAGGGCTGGAAGGACAGAGGTGGGGCAAAGCTCTGCCAAGAGATGTGCCACCGCCCTTCCAAGCTACCGTGGGGACTAGCCCTCCCAAAATCACCTGCTTTCCCCTTTACTTCACTTGTTCCTGAGGAAGGTGTTTCTCCTTGAGAGTTTCTGACCTGCACCTTTCCCTGTGCTGGGTGCTGGACTTCGTGAGGCCCCAGCACTCCTCATCAGGGTGTTGCTCCTCTCAGCGGCCTGGCCTCTTCCCCACAGCTCCAGGAATGGAGACATTTGAGTGCCCCAATGTGTGTTCAGTAGCTCCCCTGAGGAGCAGACCCAGGGTATGGCACCTGTGTGTCTTCCCTGATGCTTCCCAGCTGCCTGATTCATGCCCAGCTTGTTGTGCCTCCCACTCTTCTCACCTCAAGGCCCCCACAACTCCACCACTACCCCCCCACAACCCCATCAGTCACCCTGATGTCCCTGTCCCTCCTTGCTATAAGGCCAGAGGACCACAGCTGCCTTTCCTCTTCCTGGGAAAGTTTGGGTACCAACAGGGTGAGGTGCACGACCTGCTGCCTGTGTTTTCCCTGGCAGGAGAGCTGCCTTGGGCTCAGCAGGGAAGGACACACATAGCCTGATGCCAGCACTCCTCCCTGTAAGTGTCAGCTCTGACTGGACACTCCATTCCCTCCTGTCCTTCTCCCTCTGCAGTGCCAGGGACAAGCTGGGATCGCTCCTCTCCCTGGACAGCCTGGGGAGGGGTCCAGGATATTCGTGTTTTGGGGAAGATGCATGAGTAGAAAAGAAACCTCAAGGCAGATGTGGTAAAAGAAGGCTTTATTTATACTGATGGGGAGGATGTGAGGGAATGTGTGCCAGTGCCAGGAAGGCATTTACAGTGGTTAGTGTGGCAGAAGCAGTGGCAGGCAGTGATTTCCCACTCAGGATTAAAGAGCCACAGCTGGCTACAACCCTCCAGAGTGGGGTATGAATGGCCAGGAGGGGATAGGGATGAGAGTCCACTGCCTCCAGGGTGGAGTGGGCAGGCTCAGCACAGAGGTGACTGCTGCAGTGGTGACCCCCAGCCCGGCCAGTTGTGGCACTGGTGGAAGCACAGGACCCATCTACACCCCCAGTTTGGGGCCGTCCCGGTGTGCTGTGGCACCGAACCATCCCACACCCACAGGGGCGTCACCCACACACACAGACACCCCCGCGGCGCCCCGGGGGCCCCCTCAGCCTGTCTGTGGGAAGAGCATGAAGCCGCTGAAGATGCTGTCTGCCTCGGAGCCGCTGTAGATGGAGCTGCCCCGGGCGGGGTCGGTGCTCACGGACACCCGGTCGCCCGGGGCCAGGCGGAGGACGCTGCTGCCCGAGTTCACCTGCAGGATGCCGGCGCTGTTGTTGTCGCAGAAGCTGACGACCTGCTCCTTGTTTTTAGTGATGCTCAGGCACAGATCACCGCTGGACACCACCTGGTAGGCGAAGTAGTAGAGCCCCGGGATGCGGCACGTGAACTCCCCCGTCTGGGGGCTGTAGGAGTCCTCCTCGTTGGTGATGATGCTGTCGAACACCACCGTCCTGCCCACGGACGGCGGGGACCTCCGCAGGGCGGAGAAGGCAGGGCGCGGCTGCTCCAGGGTATTGCCGGGTCCCCCCTTCTCCCCCTTGAGCCCTGGCATCCCTGGCATCCCAGGGAAGCCAGGGAGGCCAGGGAAGCCGCGGTTCCCTGGGATGCCAGGAAGCCCGGGCTCACCTGCATCCCCTTTGGGTCCCTGGATGCCCGTCCTTGGTGCCGGTTTCCCTGGGGAGAGGGGGTGAGGAGGAGCAGTTCGTGCACACCCAGCACCTCCCAAGCTGCTCCCACAGCCTGGGATGCTCCTGTCAAGAGGTTCTCAGGCTCCCCACACTGGACATCCCAGGCTTCCCTTACCTGGCTCTCCCGTGTCACCCTTCTGCCCTGGCCTCCCATCACGTCCAGGGATTCCAGGGAAGCCATCCTTGCCGTCTGGTGCCCGGCACACTCCATCCTCCAGCAGGGCCGTGCCCAGCACTGCTCCCAGGGTGCTGATTGCCAGCCAAAATCCGGGTTGCATCCTGCCTCCTACAGGCACAAGGGTGGGGAATTGGGGGTGGAGGCAAACACATAGATCTTGGACACAAAAGTACAAATGCTCTCAGCAGGTGCATCCACAGGTCTACCCCACTGTTTGTCAGCTCCCCACACCACATGCAGTGGTGGAAACAGCTTCCTGGAAGGGTTTTGGGAGTGTTTCATTGTGTGATCAGAACTACTTTAAACCCCTGTGGAGGGGGAAAGTGAAGAAAAAGAGAATGAGGACAGAGAGCAAGGTCAGGAGAGTGGTGGCAGAGGAGGAGCGTGTCCCCTGCTCTTTGGGGTGACTTACCTCTGGGCAGGGGGTGAAGCCAGACCGGAGTGAGCAGCAGCTCAGTTTGCTGGAAGCTCTTGCCTGGCAGCCAGGAGGAAGAGAAGCAGGGTGGGAGGATGTCTTTGCATGCATGGTGGTCTGGGAAGGGACGTGCTGAGTTTCGCTTTCTCTGTGTGAGAAAGAACCTCGTTCCCCTTTCCGTGCTTGACTCTGGAAACAGCTTGGTCAGCAGGAGTGCAGGATTGCTGAGTGCCCAGCCTGGCCCAGCAGCACAGCTCCCACAGCAGGCACTGGTGGACACTGGGCACAAAGCAGCACCACAGTGGAGGGTGCCCAGGGCAATCGCCACAGCTCTGTCCCCGCAGGAGGGGACAGGTGATCACAGCACCGGGTGTCACAGCCAGCCAAGGGATGCTCAGAGGGTCCAGGGATCACCTCTGAAGGCTCCTGGTGTGGGTGATGAGCAGAGTGTGTCTGCCACTGGTAGCCAGCCTTGCAGACCCCTCCAGGTGCCCGCCTGGGCACTGCAGTCTGATGGAGCAGGGAAGGTCAGTGCCTGTGTGGCTCAGCAGGACCTTGAGCATTTAGGCTGGATATCAGGGAAAGGTTCATCCTCCAGAGGATGGTTGGGCACTGAACAGGCTCCCCAGGGCAGTGTCTGGCAGCCCCAAGGCTGCCAGAGCTCCAGCAGTGTTTGGACAATCCCTCTCAGGCACAGGGTGGGATTGCTGGGGTGTCTGTGCAGGGCCAGCAGTTGGAGTGAGAATCCTTGTGGTTCTGTTGCAGCTCAGGATGTTCTGTGATCCTATGGTCTCCTTCCCACTGCCTTCTCTTCAGTGCTTTGGGGACCTTGTGTCTGCAGTAGAGGGGGAGAAGATGGTGGTGTCTGGCACTGATACTGCTCTCAGCCCCCTTTGGGTGGCCGTGCCTTGCACCAGCCACATCTGGGCAGCCCCTGGAGCTGTGTGGCCTCCTGAGACCAGACAAATGAAACACCAACATTTCATCCCACTGAGTACAAGGAAAGAGTCCAGGGATGTGCCTTCAGCTCTGCTAAAAATGAGCCCCAAAATGCCTCAAGTGCCCAAACCCCATCGTGCCAGGGAGCAAGCGGTGAGAGGTGCCACGATCATCCCAGCAGGGACCCTGGGGACCAGGCGGGGTCACACAGTGGGTTATGAGGAGGGGGTTTCTGATCCATATCCATGTAGAGTGTATTTTCAGGTGTCCTATGGCAACTTTACTCACCTTCATGAGAAAGAGGGATTGGGGTTCCCAAAGTTGGAGCTGGGGATCAGGGGACAATGTCCAGGGAAAGAGGGCAGTGAGCAGGCCTGGGATTAGGGTGGCTCTAAAGCCCAGGGGTGCTGGCAACCCTCCCATGTCCCCCCTGCCTGCCACCTCTAGCAGTCCCAAGGAAGGTGTTGCATCATTTCTAATACAGATGAAAAAGGGAATGACCAAAGTCAGCCCCAAAACCATTGCCACCAGAGATCTGTCACTGAGCTGGTCTTTAATTCTTTGAATAGATGCCCTCTTAATGTAATATAATACATATTTTTAATCAAAATGTCATCCCATAATAAATCAGATGCCCAGAAGAAATGCAATTTTATTTTATCAACAGAGTTCCTCTATCAACCAGACCTGTAACCGTGTCAAGGCAAGATGACAGGTGAGTTTGAAAGGACCCACCTTCCACCAAACGGTGCTTCTGGACAGTAATTGTATTTCTGCCCTATTGCCCTTTCTTAATATACAGCCCAAATGAGACCACTCCATCATTTCATCCAGGATTGATCGATGGCTGGTCCTTGTGCTCCCGTGTCCTTTGTCTCCTGTTGTCCCTTTAACCCCATTTAAATGCTGAATTACAGGGGCTGCTTGTGGGTCTCCAGTATCTCCTTGAAGTTTGTTCCAGGTGTTCCCTCCTCCAGTCTCCTGTTTAGCCCCACTGGTGTGACTTTGAGCGTTGCTGTGGTCAAGCCAAGCTTTCCTTTCCCATCCTCTACCTCCTCCTCCTCCTCGAGATCGGCAGCTGGGACATCACAGGCTGGTTTGTGTTGGAAGGGACCTTAAAGCTCATCCAGTCCCACCCCCTGCCACGGGCAGGGACACCTCCCACCAGCCCAGGTTGCTCCAAACCTCTGGCCTTGGACACTTCCAGGGATCTAGGGGCAGCCACAGCTTCTCTGGGCAACCTGTGCCAGGGCCTGCCCACCCTCACAGGGAAGGATTCCTTCCCAACATCCCACCTAACCCTGTCCTCTGGCAGCGGGAAGTTCCTTAAGCTGCCGCCCGTGGTTCCAGAGGTGCCGGGATGCAGGGAGTCGTGGATGAGCACTGACGGGAACGCCTCCAGCGCGGCACCCTCGTCCTTCCCATCCCCCCCGGGCTGCCCGTGGGAGCGGGGGGTGGCCGGGGGGCTGCGGGGAGGGTGGGCACGGCAGCGATGGGGCGAGCCACGAGATGGCAGTGCTGCCTCAGCCGTGCTCGGTGACACCGCTCCTCTCCCCACAGCAGGGCCAGGACAACCCCCACG